GGGAGGGAGGAGGAGGAGGAGGAGGAGGACGTGGTGGAGGAGGAGGCAGAAGGGGGGAGGGTGAGACGCGGACGGCACGCAGAGAGGTGCCGGGTCAACGCGCCAGGTAACAACGCCTCAGGACACCCGCTGACGTCCTCGTCGACGTCCTTGCCGTTGTCCTCGTCGCCGAATCGTGAACGGCGACAAGCCGTTGCATCTCCACGAACATGGACAACCCGACACGTTCCACGGATAACATGATGTCCCTGCACGCCGCCTCCTGGAGCTTCGCCCTCCTCGCGGCCACGATCGCGTTGCTGCCCGCCACGCACAGTGCTCCGTTCGCGCAAGCCGCGTAAGTACACACTCATCTTCTGTGTCGTTTTTCTCTTTTTTTTTTATTCATACGTCTACTGTATCTCCTCGTAGTCGTTAGTAGTAAGTAACACAGGGTTACGTGGAATTTTTCGATCGCATATACAGCAAGTTTGACCACGTTCAATCGGTTTTTATCTTCGCGTCATGGTAATCCTGTTTCTGACAGCGACGCGTTTCACCCGTTCGAAAAAAAAAAAAAAACGTGAAGCAACCCCTCTGTGCGAACGCGTCGCGTCCGCGCGTAATTGAAAAGTCCGGCCTCTGAGAGTGGAGACGCGCGATTCGCGGGGTAGTAGTATGAAGCCTCCGAATCGATAGCCGCTGAAACTTCGTTCGCGGACTTACCGCGTGTGTGCGATGAAGGTCTCTTTGAACTTTCCGCCCTTTCCGTTCGAATCGGCCAAGTTGATGCACCCACCCCCCTTTTCGTCGATGTTCGAGCGGAGAGAGACAGTCACGCGCGCACATTAGGCGAACTCGGGAACTCACTAGCCCCGCACAACTCTCTGCCAACGAGATTCTCTCTCTCTCTCTCTCGCGCTCTCCCTCTGTTCTCCTGACCTCGAGGAACGAACGCCGAGTCGAAGTTAATCGACGAAGCCTAATGTGCCTAGAATACCACGCTGGCAATCGATAGACTCGCAGCTGATTCTACGGCGCGAGCTAGGCGCAAGGATTTAATTAATGATCCATAATCCTATATCTCGATTACGTGTTTCGCCTGTGGCGTAGCCGTGCATGCAGACCTATCGGAGCACACGAAATTGGTCGATAAATGCCTCTCTAATGGGCGATAGGATACCGAGAAGGCGAGAAAAACGGGAATCTCGTCGCGTTCAATCGGTTTATTATGCTCGTTTTCGACCGTCACGATTCTAAATACCATTTTCAAGTCCACGTGCAACCCTCTGTACGTGAGTGTGTGTACATGCACGAGACATCTATCTTTGACACGGCACACGGCCGACAATACAGCAGCTGCGACGTTATACAGCCTTCCTCCGGCTCGGCTGTCTGGATGCACGTTCGTGATTGCATGTAAATGAGCGGAAACATGCAGGCTACGTTGCATGCCCAGACGTACGGGCACACACCGGCAGCCGCACACGCTCTTTCAATGATCACAATGACGCCACCCCTCGTGACTTCAAGACGACGAGAAGGCGTCGTCTCGCGCTTTAATGGACGCGCGCCGCTCCGCGCCGTGCCGCGCGCGCTCTCCCTGTTACGTTTAAAAAATTCATTTGTCACCCAACAATCGCCCCCGTCGATCGTAGTAACCCTCTCGCTAATTGGTCCCTGTTAACTTTTCACATCGAAATTACCCTTTTCTTTCCTCGCGAAACACTCGTTTCATAACTCTCTCTCTCTCTCGACGAAACTGCCCTTTAAATCGGCTTACTTTTACTTCCAGTACTATTTCAGGATATCCCGTAGATTTAGAATAAAGATACATTAACGTTGTAGTTTCTAAATAAAGACTACCGTTTACCAGCTCTCTAGATCGCGCCGAAGAGAAAATTTTATTCGAAACCTTAATGTCCGGTGACTCGTATAGACCAGAAATTTTGCATACGCTCGAAGCTACACGTATGAACAGAAATAATACCTAGAAATTATAATGAAACGTTCATTGTACCCGTGCATCAGGAATACCAAAATTTTCAGCGAAACAATCACTCTAACAGGCGGAACAACAAAGGGATTTGTAACGAGTACACACGATCAAGGATTTCGAGAACGAAACCGCGGCCGTCGGCTTTATAACGTTTAATAACCGAATGGAATATACATTTGGTTAATAAATACGATCGCGTGTGTGTGTGCGACGCAGGGAGGCTTAGCCGGTACACAGGCAGTGTCTCGAGAGTGACAGCGGCACCGTGAGAACAATAGCGAAGCTGAAATTAGTTGTACCGGCTCATCCCTTCTCGCATTAACGCGCGATCCAGTCGCCTCGTATATGTACATGTAATCCGTGGAACGTTTCTGCAACCCGAGCGGCTGATATCGAGCGCTATTTTCCGACAATGTTTAACACGTTTACTTATCAGCCGTCTCTTCCGTGACAGCTTAATCGATTACAATAACAGAGATTTTCTTGAAAACGCGGCACGTCATCGAGGGCGGAGCGAACACTCTTCTTTCTTTACCAGAGGTCGCTTTTTGTGAATTCCTCCGGCGAAGGCTATTGTTCGTAAATTGTTGCTGTGAATGGGATGTGGGTTACGATTCGTCGGGATCTCTGATGTGATTAATTAAAACCGTCGATGTCTTTGTTCAGCGGCGAGAAATGAAGAAGAAAAAAAACAAAAGTTGAATGAATTTTTCTACCCGCCTACCGTGAAGAGATCCTTGTTTAACGGGGGGAGGTGGATTTTATTCGATCGTTCGAATAATTGTCACGCGTATTAACAAAGGGAAAATGGTTGAACAGGTAACGCTCGGTTGAACGTGGAATTATTATCGTACATAACGATAATACGAGAGTAACTGAACGCTTTATAATCATTGAAGCTAATGTAGAATTGCAACAGCTCTTCTCGACACTTGGCGCAATTTTGAATTAACGAACGATCGGTAACAGCATCGAAATTTCCATTCGTATATACTACCGTCCCGGTTGATAGTTTCGGTTCGATCAAACGCAAAGCCACCTGATCCCGGAAACATTACGACGACAAAAAGTGGCGAACCTGATAAAACCGGACAATCCTTCGCGATGAACCATCGTAACCAAAGCCTCGGATGAAAAGGCAACCCTTAACCCAACAAATCGCTGCTCATCCAATTACATTACAATCCGATTGCCGTTCCCAGTGCGCACATACAACCCGTGCATCGCGTCTGTTTAGAGAAAATCGCATCACCAAAATCCTCGCTCAATCGGCAACGATATTAACGTTCGGATGTTTGAAATGAACGGACGGAAGGGAGAAACAGGCACAACAATTTCGGCCGGGACTCTGATCTAATCCCGGAAGAGGGTAGTTAGGTATAGTCGAATCACAGCTCGGGTCGTTCCACCTGTTTTCTCCTCGAGGGCCGTGCCTCTCTGTAGCCTCCTCCAAACCCCTACGAGTACCAACCGCGGACGTTCTGTAGTGTGGTATCGGTGATCGCAGTAGAGCTCTCGAGCAAGAGGGTGCTCCCGACGTGGCAGAGCTCCAAATCCTCCTACGCTGCCACCCTCTCGCACCGCTGTCGTTACCACCATCCACCTCTTCCCCCTGCTTCCCCTCCACCAAACCGGACCACCGACACACATCAGCCCTCTTTTTCTTATCGAGAGGAACGGCCCTTTTCGGACTTCTCTGTCGTCTTCCACGCCCATCACTCTCTTGCTTCTTCAACCCCCCGGTCTCTCCCTCGATTTCTCGCTCACCTCTTTGTGTCTCTTTCACTCTTTCTCGTTCTCCGCCTTTCACCAACACTCCCGTATCTCACGTTCCCCTTTTTTCGGTCACCCGGACCAAGCTCGACCCGGAATCGTACTCTAGCCACCACCTTCATTGACGTTTCTTCTTCTCTTTCCTAGACGAAGCGAGGTCGAGCTTCATGAGTATGCCCCGGTCGTGTAAGGGCGGACAGCCGGGGCAAGTTCTTCGCGTTTCATAGGCCGGTACGTCCCCGATTTCGTGATTGAAACGGGTCTGAAATGGGTTTCGCGTACACAAGGAATACGAAACAACGTTCCTTCGAGCGACACAGGGCTTCGGGCTAAGCGGACGCACCTCTCTCTCTCTCTTTCTCTATCTTTCGTGACGTTCGAGGTCGACGTTTTCAACGTGTCCTCTCTCTCTCTCTCTCTTTCTTCTGCTATTTTCACGTCAAAGCGAGATCTGCATCATCGGGCTCCGCGAGACGAAGATTCTCTCCTGTTCAAACCTATCGATCGTTTAATGTTTGTCGTGGCTGGTCTGAAGAATTTATAAACGACGAGCGGGTAAATCTAAGTCAACGCTCGGTAACAGGCGGAAGATTCCTCTGAGAGGAAGAAGACGAAGAAGAAGAGAAGGAAAGGGGGAAAAGATGAGAAAAGAAGAAGTGGGAGTGACGTTCGTAGGAGGCACAGCGTTGAAACGATTGCGACAAAGCAAGGGTCCAGAAGCGTAAAGTGTCGAAGAAGATCAGAAGGTCTCTGATCTTGGAGTACCGCTCGCGACGGATAATGACGATGTCGTTAACCGCGGCGCGTCATCTTTCCCCGTGTGGACGGGTCCGTGAAAGCGTCTCCCCTCTCGTGGGCGGAAGGGCGCGTGGCGAAGGACTAACAGGAATTGAAAACGCCGCGGATACTCGTGCGGTCGCGAATCGTCGTGTTTTTGCCGTGAAAAGCGGAGAGAGAATCGTCTACCACGGAAACGAGAGAAAACGTGCCAAGTCATTCGGCTCGGTCTGACCCACTTTTCGCGGAAGCGTAAAACGCGCGCACTTTGCGACGACGACGACGACGATCCGACGAAACTGATTCTCCTTTTTCTCTCCCTCTGCACCCACCCCTCTCTCTCTCTCTCTCTCTCTCTCTCTCCCTGTGCTCGCTCTTCTATACAGTTACACAGCTGCCTCGCGTTTTTTCCTCCTTTTCTCTGTCTCTCTCCTCTTTCCTTCTTTCTCCCCTTTTTTTCTCTTTCTTTCTTTCTTCCTTTTTTTTTCGGCAGACACAATGAATGACGGTTGAAGAGCATAACTCCTGAAAAGAAATCCCAATTTCGCGGCGCACGTTCCACAGTCGGTCTACGTAGCCTCGCGAGCATAGACTTTGTAATTCTGCGATACTTCCTGCGCTCAATGGCCGCCCCGCTTATAAACCGGTTAAGCCATTCGTCGATGATACTCCCCGGTGATAGAAACGACGCTTTTTTTCTTCTTCTCGTCGCTTTGAACTGCCTCCACCTTTCTCGTGTATTTGTTGTCCGGAGAATTGAGATAATTAGCAGAGTTGTGTCGGAATATTTAATACGAATTTCGTTACGT